GATTTGGTGCATGGCTTTGTATCGATACGTGATCATGAACTACAAGCTTCATCACTCCTCCTTGATGCAAGAGCTATGCATAACACCAAGCTTGCCTCTAAGTTCTCCAAATCTGTTCTTCTACGGACCCTTGGTGAAAATATCAACGACTTGTTCCTCTGCTGAACAATGCAACAAGACAACTTCACCTTCCTTCTCTCGCTTCTCTAATAGCATGATATTTGATTTTAATGTGCTTAGTTTTTCCATGAAAAACGGGATTTTTAACCATTGCAACAGCGAGACTTATTATCACACAAAATCATTGTAGCGAGCTTCTTGCTTAAACTTCAAATCACTCATCATTTTTCTCAACCATAATGCTTGATTAACGAGCGACAGATGCGACCATATACTCTGCCTCGGCGATGAGATCGAGCAACATAACCTTGCTTCCTTGAACTCCAACATATAACACACGATCCAAGTGTAAAACAATAGCCCGAGGTGCTTTTTGAATCTTCAAGTGATCCAGCCCAATCACTATAAGTGAATCCAAGTAATTTCAAGGTCGAACTCCTCCTATACAACACACCATATGAAATTGTACCACGAATATACCTCGGGACCCTTTTGGTCGCTTTGAGATGATTTTCGGTTGGCATGTGCATATATCTTGATAGAATGCTAGTTGCATACATTATATATGGTCTTGTGATTGACAAATACAGCAATGAGCCAACAAGACTCCCGAAGATTGAAGGATCAACGGATGCTTGAACCATCATTTGTTTGTAACTTCAATCCTTGAGCTGCTTGGAGTGTTGACGACTTTATAACCAATTAGAGAAAACTTCTTCAATAATTATGTGGCATATTTCCTTTGAGAAATAAAAGTGCCTATTGAAACTTGAGACACTTCCATTCCTAGAAAATAACACATCCGCCCCAAATCATTCATCTCAAACATGCCCTCCATTTGCTTTCTAAACTCTTTCACGAGTTTGGATTGCTTCCAAAGACAAGGATATCATCAACATAAATTGAAACAATTAGAATTTCAGAATACACTTGTTTTACATACGGTGTAGCTTCATTGATGCTCCTTTCAAATCCCAAGTCAAGCAAGTAGCCATCAATCTTTGCATACCAAGCTCTAGGGGCTTGTTTTAAACCATATAGTGCCTTTTTCAACAAATAAACTTTATCGAGCAGCATTTTTAATAACAAAACCCTCGGGTTGCTCAATGTAAATTTTCTCCTCAAGAACACCATTGAGAAATGCTGATTTAACATCAAGTTGATAGACTCTCCAGCCTTCATGAGCGACGAAGGGCAAGCAATAATCCGATTGTATCGAATCTAGCTACGGGAGCAAAGGTTTCGGTGAAGTCAATACCTTGCTTGTTGAGAGTAGCCTTTCACAACTAATCTAGCCTTGTATTTGCTGATTGAGCCATCCAGATTCACCTTCACTTTGAACACCCATTTTGTACCAATTACTTATTGATTTTCTAGTCCGTCAACAAGTAACTAGGTGTCATTTTTAACAATCATATTGAATTCTTCCTCCATGGCTGCTTTCCATTTTGGAGATTGCAAAGCTTGATCAATCGATGCGAGTTCAAATATAGCTACATTACATCTATTATAGATATCTTGCGGAGTTACGGTGCCTCTCACTTGTGTGATGCTCATCATCGAATCCTCCTCCTCGAAGTCTCATTATAAAGCTCGGGTGCATTTTCGGCATTAATGCTTTGATTTGAGGACTCTTCAATCATTTTCTCCCAATTCCAAACACCATTTTCATCGAATTTTATACTCCTGCTCACATAAACCTTCTCGGTTATGGGATTTAAAATTCGATATCCTTTTGAAACGATGCTTATAACCAACAAAGACACCAACTTCGACCCTTTGATCAAGCTTGTCTCTCTTTGCATCGGGAACATAAGCATAACAAGTGCTTCCAAAAACCTTCAAATGAGCCATCGATGGTTTAACACCTATCAAAGCTTCATAAGGTGTTTTCTCATCAATAGCTTTAGTTGGAAGTCTATTTTGAAGATAGACGGCGGTGTTTATAGCCTCTCGCCCATAACTTCTTTGGTAAACCTTTTTCAAACAACAAGCACCTTGCCATGTTCATGATTGATCCGTTCTTCCTTTCACTTACACCATTTTACTAAGGTGTGAGTTGATGATGAATACCTATCTTTTGAAGAAATGATTGAAATTGAGAAGAGACATATTCGGTGCCATTATTAGACCTCAAGGTCTTGATGACATGAGCACTTTGTTTTTCTACGACGACCTTGAATCTTTGAAACATAGGAAATACCTCGATTTGTTTTTGAGAAAATAGACCCGACAATATCTTGAAAAGTCATCAATAAATAAAAGAAAATATTTGCTGCCATTGTAAGAAGATATGCTCATGGGTTCCACATACATCCGTATGAACCAGTGGAGCTTTTCGGTTGCTCTCCAAGCTTGGTTTACGGGAAATGGAGTTTTGCTCAACTTACCAAGTTGACGGGTACCACATACATTTGAAATTTCGAGTCACGACAGGTAAATCATCCACCATTTTACTCATTTCAAGCAACTTCGAGCATCATAATTTATGTGACCCAACCTCTTGTGCCACAAACAAGAGTTAAATTCAATACCGACAAAAGCTTCGACTTCATCATGTTTCCACTCAATATTAAAGCTTCGTTATGCATTTTAATATATAGAAGCTTTATACCAAAAGGATCAATAATTTCACGGAATTTGTTCTTGAATTTAAGCGAGTAATTCTTATCTAGAAGCCGACCAACACTTAATAAATTATGTTGAATATCGAGCACAAACAGAACATCGGAGATAAGCTTTGTACACGATAAAGTTTGCACGAACACAACACCTTTGCCTTTGACATCCACTAGTCTCCCATCACCAAGCCATACTTTGGAAGAATATGCTCTGTCCAAAGTTTTAAAAATTTCCAAATTTGTCGACATATGATGAGTACGACCATCGTCGATCATCCAAGCATTAGTGTTTTGAGTTACGACTAAACATTCAGCGGCAGCAACAAAAAGTTTCTCCTCCCGACCTTCGAGTCCTTCGATGACTTGTGCGAGTCGAGCTTGATTTTGTTGACCACCATTTCTGGATAAACTCTTTCAACATCTCCAAACAACTTACATGCTTTACATTGAACCCCAGTGTCCGTACCAGTAATAATTTTCGGTGTGGTTTGTCTTCTTACAATGAAGACAAGGTGGATACTTGCCTCTCCTGTTCCTTCTCATGTTGCTTTGATTAAATTTTTTGTCTTTACCTCTCTTTGAATGAGGGCCTCTCTTTGCATCATTAGTCCGCATTTTTGCTCTTTGGGATGCAAAAAGTGCATTTTCGATTGAGCCTTCTTCTTTTCTAAATGCTTTTCTTTGTTCAACGACTTGTAGAGCACTTACAAGCTCTGCGAGAGAAAAGCCGAGATAAATCTCGGGCATCTTCAAGTGAAGAGATTTTTGCCTCAAATCTTTACGGAAGAGTTACCATTACCTTCTCTATAACTCTTCTTTACGGTAAGTCCTCACCTAACAACCTTACTTGATTAACAATTTTCATAACTCTATCAATGTACTCCTTCACATTCTCGGTCTCTTTCATCTTGAGAAATTCAAATTCCTTTCTTAAATTAAAGATCCGCATTTGTTTTGTCTTTTCGCTTCCTTGAAATTCGACTTCGACTTGTCCCGGACTTCTTTTGCTTGTCTTGCATGCCATAATCCTTGTGAAAATAGTCTCATTTACTCGCTGAATGAAGACTACTCAAGGCTCTAAATTTTTTAGAGACCTTTTCTTCATACATTCTAAGTCGATTCAAAGTTGGATTGTCCGGCAATTCGGTTTCAAAGTCCGATTCAACGACTTCCCACGATAGCGAGACCCACGAGATATGCTTCCATCTTCACGAGACCACACATGATAATTTTCTCCAGTGAAGATTGGAGGAGAAAGAGCAGAAATACTACTGCTTGTAGCCATCATAAAAATCACTCAAATCGTCAAGTGTTTATGGTTTTTTAAGTGAGGTTTTCTTACTTGTTTTCTCTCACACAAAGCCCCACAAAGATCAATTGTAGCTCGATACCGGATGTAGGAAGTTTTTGGTATATGCGTATGAAAGAAGAAGAAGATAGACAAAAAATGAAAGGGAACTCACTCTTTTCATTACTGCAGAGACATGTTTATAATGATACAAAAAGTAAGTCAATATCAAATTTTCATAATTTAAGGAAATTTGTTCCCTTGTCTAAAGCTGAAATTAAGTTCCACCACAAGTCATTCAAACTTCAGTACATTAATTAATTGTATTACAAAATATTCAAAAACAAAAGGAATAAAATCTGGTGCAAGATTTGGTGCATGGCTTTGTATCAGTACGTGATCATGAACTACAAGCTTCATCACAAATAATACTTTCAGTTTTGGATTATGACGAGACTCGAACCTAAATTTTTGCAAAGATGAGAATGAAACCATGTCGACTGAATTGCACCTAACCAGAATTAAGGAACGTGTAATCTAAACTATAGAAGAAACAAAAGAAGGCTGCCTGAAGCTTATCATTCGGGGATATGATCTTCATAGCATCATTTTCAATCCCAATCACATGCCGGCCCCTCTCATGGCAATGACCCTTCCCTATTTAACCCTTCAATCCTTCTTCCCCCTTCACACACTTCACTTCAAACAAATTCCATTTATTCTTCTGTCTATTCCTCTTTGTCCTATATATCATCTTTCCACTCAAGACATCAATCTAGCTAGTTTCTTCATTTGGAAGACAACATCCCCATCATTGTTTTCCCTTATCTCTCTAATCTTCTGTTTCCCACTTTGGAAACTACATTTTGTTCAAAGACTTCTCTTTTTATCTGAATCCCTTTTTGCCATTTTAAAAAGCAAAACATACATACTTCTTAATGTATAACACAGCTTGTCTTAATATGCCAAACATGTTTCAAACTTCTAGTCCTGATCATGACTTCTTTGTTCGCCGATGTATATGGGTGAACGGACCTGTCATAGTTGGGGCTGGCCCTTCAGGTCTAGCTGTTGGTGCTGGCCTTCAAAGACAAGGGGTGCCATTCGTTATACTCGAACGAGCAAACTGCATTGCCTCTCTCTGGCAAAACCGCACCTACGATCGCCTCAAGCTTCACCTCCCTAAACAATTCTGTCAACTACCGAACCTCCCATTCCCAGACGACTTCCCTGAATATCCTACCAAATATCAGTTCGTTAACTATCTTGAATCTTATGCCAAGCACTTCAATATAAATCCACATTTCAATGAGACTGTGCAGTCTGCAAAGTATGATGAGACTTTTGGCTTGTGGCGAGTTAAAACCATTTCAACAAGCAGTTCAGATATTCCTAGTGAAGTCGAGTACATTTGTAGATGGCTTGTGGTGGCCACTGGGGAGAATGCAGAGAAAGTTCTGCCAGAGTTTGAAGGCTTGCAGGACTTCGGTGGCCATGTTATGCATGTTTCTGACTACAAATGCGGTGAAAGTTATCGTGGAAAGCGTGTGCTAGTTGTTGGCTGCGGCAATTCAGGCATGGAGGCCTCTCTTGATCTCTGCAACCATAACGCAAGCCCATCAATGGTTGTTCGCAGCTCGGTGAGTAAGCATGTCTCAATTCTTATAGAGTTTACTAGCCTGATAAAGCCTTCAGCTCATACAAGTTCAAACAATAATTTGTTCTTAGTTTGATCCACAGGTTCATGTCTTGCCTAGGGAAGTTCTTGGGAGATCAACATTTGAGTTGGCAGTAACAATGATGAAATGGCTGCCACTTTGGATGGTCGATAAAATATTATTACTTCTTACCTGGCTAATCCTCGGAAAATTTGAAAAACATGGTCTGAAAAGGCCATGTTTAGGACCTTTACAGCTCAAGGATACTCAAGGTAAAACCCCAGTATTGGACATTGGTGCACTAGAAAAAATAAGATCTGGTAAGATCAAGGTTGTCCCTGGAATCAAGAAATTCTGCAGTGGCAAAGTAGAGCTTGTTAATGGTGAAATTCTTGAGATTGATTCTGTAATTCTGGCAACTGGGTATCGCAGCAATGTACCTTCATGGCTAAAGGTGAGAAAATGGTTTGCTCTTGACTTTTCTATTTTTAGGATTTTTTATTTTTTATTTTTTATTTTTTATTTTTTTATTTTTTTTATTTTTTGTGACAGTTATGGAAGTTGGGATTGTTTTAGAATCTGTGCCTCTGTTTTTTATAAAGGCATCTGTGTTTCAGGAATTTTGGAACTGTGGTCCGATTGCTAGTTTTTTCAACGGTTTATTTTTTGTCCTGTTCATGGATCAGAAATAATAGAAGTTTAGAAGTTTTTTTCTCCTTATATTCTCTCACCACCTATGCATTTATGAGATAATGTGGCCTAGTTGTTTTTACTTGGTCATATACGTACACAGGAGACATTAATGAATTAGAAATTTCAAAATGAATCAGAGCATGTTAGGTTGCTGCTGCTTCTGATACCCTGTTTTTCCCTTTCTTTTGGTATTTCTGAGGTAGTTGGATTCTGTTTCTTTGACCATCTGTTTGTTAACATGTTTCCTTTTTTCGGGAAAAATAAATTTCAGGCGTTGCCTCTGCACAAAAACCACACACTATGATTTATATTACTGGGCCAATCTAAATTATTTGAATTGTTTATGGTTTTCAGGAGAGTGAATTTTTTACTGAAGATGGGATTCCTAAAAATCCGTTCCCTAATGGATGGAAAGGCAATGCTGGGCTTTATGCAGTTGGGTTCACAAAGAGAGGCCTATCTGGGGCATCTCTAGACGCTGTGAGTGCAGCACTTGACATTGCCAAAAGCTGGAAAGAAGAAACCAAGCAGAAAAGGAAAACTGTGGCAGTTCGCCATAGGAGGTGCATTTCACATTTCTGAAGTCGCAAGAATTTTTTTTGTCTCTTCATTTCTTTTGTTCAGGGACTGATTAAAAAGATATCATGGGATCAGTTTGTGTAGAAAATAATGTAGAGCACAAGAAAATGAACGTAGCTCTAGCCCTCTCCTAAAGAAAGCCCAAGATTTGCAAATAATTGGTTTTTTATTTTTATTTTTATTTTTTTTTACAAAGGAAGATGAGGCTCATTGGTGTAACGTTTTTTTTTTTTTTCCTTTCTTTCTTTCTTTCTTCTGGTTCAAAGGAATTTTGTATCGCAATTTATTTTATTTTAATAATAAATAATCCAAGTCAAATAGAAAGGACCATTCTCTCAAGTCCTCTCCTATCTCACTGGTCTGCTTATGGTCATTAATACAACTCATGGATTATATCTCCTCTCTTGGTCCACTTAGGCCCAATCAATAATGTGGGCCAAGATCCATTACTCCAACAACCTCACAAAATCTCTTCAGAATTATCCTGACTCTGAAGTCTGAACAATTGTATGTGAAAGAAAGAGTTTCCCTGTTACCTTGCACATGGATAGAGAGCCCACAATGTTATAAGGATAAACCATGTCATAAATGCAAATGTAGTTCTAAGCGAAAGGGTGAAAGAACATGACAGCAAATTTTAACCAATCGAAACTGTAAATCACTGCATGCAATGCAATATGTTTCTTACCACCCCTCAACTGAATTAAATTTCCATTTGCAACAAGATTCATTTATGTTCAATGCCGAGCACCTTCCACCAACTCCCTCCTCTTTCTGGGGTCAAAACATGCCTATTTTTTTTTCCACATAAATGTATGTACTTTCCATCTCAAGTTCAGTATTATTTGTTTAATAACGGGAGAGTCGAGCAAGGACTTGTGATTTGGGGATAATTAGAAGCCTAAGTTTCTTAAGAACTTGCATGGAGAAATTTAAGCTGTCCAAATCAACAAATTTTGCACCACAGCACCAATACCAATACCAGAACCACTCCGCTGTTGACTTTATATATACATATAAATAATTAAGGATAGAAGACCAAACACTGCGCAGCAAAGTTGCTAGTTTAATCGAGCATGACCATTAGCCAGGTGCAGCCAAAACTTACCCACATCTTTATGCTTTTTTTTACACATTTTAACTTAGGTTTTGCTAGAAAAGTCTCCCTAAAACATTACAAAGAAATATACCAAAATATATGAGGAAAAAACAAACTGAAGTGAAAGTGAAGACAACCCATATGAGTACCCATATATGCTGTTGATTCACATGTGCAGAAGTAATTCAATGGCCCATCTGAAATTTCTTCACCACCACACGCTCTTAAAACTTTTCATGAAAGAAATATTCGAAGTCAATTTCGATCTTCCATGAGGAGATACACTATCTTCAGCTACCTTTCGTCGACTTGTTTTAAGCTAGAGAAACAAAGATTTGACAGTTTGGAAATTACACTACTTCTAGACTACAACATTAAAAACAACAACTGTATTTCTGTCCAATTCCACTAGAATTTCTGGGGATCTCACAGTCCTGAAACCTCTTACTTAGACATCACATTTACCGAGAAAGGAAAACACATGGGGTGGCCACCACCTTATATCCCTTCTTGTTCCACCAATAGCCCATTCCTACTGGTTCTGAATCTTATGGAAGATGTCAATTTACTACTGTCAACAAGTACTATAATCTATACAGCAATTAAAGGAATTATTTAGTATGCAGAGAACTGCAAATCCTCTTTCTCACAAAAACATGGGACACATGAATTATTTTATAGTGGGTCCCATGTTTTTGTAAGTGAGTGAAGCAACTCCAGGCATACCTAGTAATTTCTCCAGCAATTATCTCCCACGAAAAAATTGCAGATGTAGAGTCCTGGATGGTGTATGCGAGTGCAATTGTGCATGCATGTACGTTCGTGTGAGGGTTTTGAAAGAGAACGTGACTGAATGTTTGTAACCTATAATCAAAATAGCATAAAAAAATTTCATGTCCAACTTGGATAGGCATTGGCTGATGCAGAAAACAAAGGGTATGCATGTATTTAGAGAATTATATACTCAATAACTACACGCTTATATTTCGACATACAACTAAAGGCATGTGCAAAATAAATAAAATATGACAAGGTAGCATAGCCTAGAATTACTCAACCAAAAAAAAAAGGGTTTCAACTCGTTCAGCCTTGCTTGCCAACCCTGCCCTGCCATGCCAGAACTTGCACCTTAGAATATATGTACTCCTTTAGTTTATTCTTTGCCTAATAATTCCAGCTCCAAAATTTGTTTGTTCTTCTTTGGTTTTTTAACGGTATTGGTAGGGGTGAGGAGGATAGTTGAAACAGGGATTTTGATTGACAAGCTAACAAGCCTACAGTCTTTGCGCCTTTTCAGAACTAGTTTAGAATTTACAACTGAAAAGGCTAATAAACACCTGGAGTTCGGTTCATTTAGTGCAGTTATGAATTCAGATAATTCAAACTTCTAGTTTTATTTTGGTGACATACAAGCAAGATAGCTAGAGAAACATCAGCCTCGTTTCAATTAGATGACAATAGTTCACACAGGAGGTTTCCAATTTTAGCAGCATAAATTATAAAGGAAGACTGGGATAGGTAAACCATCATAAGAACTAATTTTTTTTCAGGGAAAGAATTTAAGGATAAGCTAACAAGCAAGTCAATAGTTCTATGGACTACATGGAAGCACCTGATAGTCACTTGTGAAATTTAAGCGACAAAAAATACCATGTTATCACCTAAAATTAGCATTAGTACATATACAGTACAAGTTCAAAATTTTCACATACATGAGGGCAGCTTTAGTGTCACTTGTTCTGTAGCATCAGATCAATCTGACCATTCTGATTGTAAGATTCCACTATTTTCTTCGCATATGAAGGTGTGTGCCTGTCAGCTCTGCATGCATTGGAAGTTACAAATATTAAAAGTAATGCCAACACATTATCAGAAAGTTCATTACACATTTTTCTGAATTACTCTACCTATCTTTTCCCCAAGTACGATTTGTGTACAAATAGTTTCTGATGGTATGGTAGTCTAGTGAATAACGAGCAAATTCCAGACCCTTCGGACCAACCTGATTAAAAAGAGCCAGGTCAGAATGAAATATTTGCTTGGTTGCTTTATAGCTAATGCATCAACAAGGAAATCCTTACCAAGTTTAGTAAAAACGCTATAAAATTTCCAATGAACTTTGGGGCAGGTTGAGAAGGACCCTTTCCTGGGAAAAAAATGACGTGGATTCAAACAAGTCATCAAATTGCATTCATTCTTTGATAAATGATAAAGATTTAATTAAGAAATAGATATATAATCCTATGCCAAATAAAAGAGCTTGCCAAATAGAATAAATTAATAAATCTTTGTAACAGCAAAGAATTCTAGTTAGGTACGTTATCGATGTAATAATTGAAGAATAGTCTCTGATAATAATATTCAGACTTACACGAGCACTTACGCACTCATTCCCAAATAGAGTGAAATCTTTGACCACTCATTAAATGCTAGAGAATTTTGCAACAAAACAGTGAGACATGTTCATAAGATCAGATGGCCAACATCGTTGTACCATGAATTTGTTTTAGAATCTCCATCTAGTGAACATCCCACACAAGGCATATGAGGAGCTTAAAACCCATGCTTAGGGTCTAAAATAGAAAAAAAGGGTCTGCGAACACCCTGAAATTAGATATTCATACATACCCAACTTCGCATTGTCATCAGCCTTAACAGTCTCCATAACAAATGGTCTGCGAGCACCCTGAAATTATACATTCATATTCGAAAGTCAGAATTATAATTTGCGAAAGAACTAAAGAAACCTGAATATGATCGAGCTTAGGGTTTTACCCTATTGATTGTTGGAGTAACCTCCAACAGGTCTCTTACCAAACCAATCATTTCTCTTCCTTGTTCATTTCTGCAAATGAAAGCATTAAAAAAGTTGTCATTAAAAATGACCAACTAATAATGTAACTAGTTGCAAGCACACTTCTACATCTGATCTCACCTTACTGTAACATATTGTGGATGTTGTGTCATGCTGACCCCAGGGTACTTCGGCACACCCATGTATCCAACCACCAAATCCTGGACTTTGATGTGTGAGAAAGTATTATGTAAAGTTGAGTCATATTCGCCAGAAAGAATAGAAGCTGTTCTCAGTGCAAGTAAATGTTGTGGTATAATAATTGCTCACATAGATATCGGTCAGTGTTCAGCTAGAATGTAACAAAACCATAGAAGATGAAATACTGGTGAAAATAAGTTGATAGAATCTCACCGCTAAAGCATTTGTGTAGTCAAAGCAGCTGTAGTTAACACAAAAAAAAAAATGGTGGTTAGAATAATCTAAAACAGCAAAACAAGTTCTTTGTCCAACCAAACTTAATCTTTTCCAAATCTAAATGCATTTAACATGGTGCAATAGTTTCCAGAGTGATCAGGAATTATCAGTTTGATGGTGATGTTCTTCAAGATGGTAATTTCAGCAATATCTTGTGAAATCAATTTTCCTATGCAATAATACTTCATATTTTATGCTATATTCCTGGATGCATTTTCCACTTTCAGACCTCGTAAAGAGAGTGTTATCCCATTATTTTTTTTCTACTTGGAGAGAAGAAAAGATGGACGAATAACAAAACCAATAATTTCCATCTAAAAGTCGGCATACGTTTCCATCAACTTATGCATTCAATCCCCACAGATGGATTTTTTTTTTTTTTTTTAAATAAACCGATGGAATGAAATTTTTTAATTTGTTATTCTGGTTGATTTATCAAGAATGCTCAATCATACTGTATCTCGAGACAAGTGAATTACCTATAGCAAGATGGTGCAATAACATCAACTAAATCGTTTGCTGGCAGACAGAAATAAGGAACCTGCTTTAGTTAAGATTTGAAAGACATGAAACAGCAAGCATTGTGAGACCTAGACCAAGCAGAAAGTAGAGAGTATGTGTTACCTCTTCAATGCGGCCATCCAAGTGTTTCAAATGGACCTAAGAAAGGTAGAACAAAGAATCAAGCTTTGGACATAATATATATATATATATAAGCCTGGCCAGAAGCAAGCAAGATGAGATTGCTTTCCACTCCTTCAGAGACATTGCTTGTCGTATATATTAGACTATCATCATTTCCAGCATAACATATCAGTGTTCTGAAAAAACAGAATAATGAATACTCTCTTTTTCTTTTTCCTTTCCCCCTCTCTTAGCAAGGGGAAATAGACATCATAACAAGATGTCCATCCAAACAGTAAAAGGCATACTGATACAGTTGTCTTATGCAACATAAGATGCTCATATATAGTTTGCATTAATATCCTACAGGCATAAAAGAATCCATTGGAAGAAGACAAATATGTCCAAGTCAAATAATTAATCAGCACAAACCTTGTAGTCTTGCATAAACTCGTAATGAAGAACAGTTTCTGGTTTATCACTAGCAGCCTTTAGAAACTTATCAAGTCCTTCTCGAGTTCCATTATCCACTGTGCAATAAGAGAGTTACTTTCAATTTAGATCATGTACGGTATAGTAAATAGCACATTGAGATTAGCTATGAGTCAGTGATTATCCATCTACTACCAAAAATCTAGAAGTACTTAAATTGCTTCATTTTGGACACATATCAAAGTGATCAAAACCTTTTGGATAGGACTTAAATCACAAAGAAATAATAAGGTCTGCTTCAAAACCAGCCCTGCAAAATGTAGTTCTAAATCTTGTAACGTACTCTCATTTATTTATGGAATCAGGTTTTACAAATAGGATCCTCATAAGTTGTATTTGCAATTAATTAAGCTGTACCAAACATAATTTCATAGACACTCCGGATGCTTAATATTGTTCCTTGAATAGTGGATCACAAGTTTAGACTTAATGGCCAGAAAGTAAAACAATTTTCACACGTTCAACTAATAACTAACTGCCTATAACGCTCTTAATTACCACAGTTGGTGCCCAGCACATAAAGCTTGTCCAAGTTCAAATGCCGCTCCACAGACCTTAATGCTGCAGTTCAAGAAACCACTCTGCATTACAATAGTATAAGTCATAATAAAGAAAAGAACTGAAAGTAGAAGCTTCCAGCACATGATGTCAGTCATACCTTGAACTTGGCAACCCACACCACAGAAAAGAAGACGCTTGACACCAGCAGCCTGTTGTATAAGACAAAAGATCATTTGTCCCACTGAATTTTTGAAGTACCATATTATTATTAACCAATAAACTTATACAAAAACCTAATCATTTGTACACAAATAGAAAAATTATAGATCACGAACCATGTGTTATTTTATGACATAATGTTTGAAGTATTGGTCATGACTTTTTACTCTTACCCAACAATATTTTTAATGTGCTCTTCAAACAACACAAACATTAAAAGCACTTGAATACCTAAAGCTACCAGATGTATAGCTAAATTGGACAACTTCTAAGAGAGCACGCCATCATACCATGGGCCCATCACCTAAAAGTGTTATCCATAGTAGCTTTTGGGATCATTGGGCCTTACGTATCCATATCAAGTATCAACTCACTGAACTATGAAAAATGAGTGTCGTGACAAACTCCCAATTCAAGCCATGAAATACTCCTTAAATCTCGGACAACAAAACAAAATGAAGCCAAATCTAAAATTAGAATCAAAATAACCACATCTTATATGATAATCAAGTTGGCTCTAAAACTACTTGTAACACTAGGAAGTGCAAGCGGATTGTTTTCAAAATTAAGCCATCTAAAACATAGTGGAAAAATTGCATCATTGCACTACTGACATTGGCAAGAATTATTCAAGGACTGATAAGACATCAAATATAGACCAAGAATTGCCTCATTATTCTACTGAAAGGGTGATTGAAAATGTCCATGAGGACGAACACCTTGTATGGTTTCTATAGTTCCTACCTTTTCCATGTAGTCCCATTTTTGTTTCATTGCTCGTGTTTGCTCAAGCTTAACACGTTTAGCATGTTTTTAATTGTAAGAGCTTAATCAATAACAAACAAGACAAATATCGAATGTCGAATGAACTACTTATAAGAATAGTTGCTAGGCACCTCAACCAGTGCAAGGGTATTCAGATTAGGAGAAAGTGTCGGCTTGACCCCTTTTGCAGCTAGAACTTCTTCGGGTGTCCTGTTACAGAAAATCGGGGGAAGAAAGGCAGAGTTGTAGAAATCATCAGAAAAATCTAAGAAATGAACCATGTGAAAAACACCAGAAAAAAAATAATAAATAAATAAAAAATTAGAGAATAATATAAATCATATTCCTCACCTAACAGCTTTGGGTGAGATGGCCTTTTGACATGGTATCAAAGCTTGATTAACCAAGTAGTCCTGAATTCAAGTCTCACCATCCTTATTTCTCTTCTAATTAATTAAGCACAAGATAGTGTGGGCCTATGTAAATTTAAAGCCCAAAGGTTTTTTCACTTAAGGGGGTCTCGCTAGAGAATAATATAATAAATCATATCTTGAGACCTCACTTAATAGCTTAAGCTTTTGAGTGAGATGGTCTTTTGATATGATATCAAAGCCTCGATGACTAAACGGTCACAAATTTGAATTTCACCACTCCTATTTCTCTCCTAATTAATTGAGCAAAAGCTAGTGTGTGAGCATGTGTAAGTTTCAAGTCTAAAACGCTTTCACTTGAGAAGCGTGTGTCATAAAATAATATAAATCATATCCTAAAGCCTCACCTAACAGCTTACGCTTTTAGGTGAGATGGTTCTTTGACAAAAACTGAGAAGGTCATGGACCAAATTAAAGATGCAGATGCAGTCACTAACCTGGCTAAGACAGGCCTTGGAGAGAGTCTGTCCTCTGGATCACTGTATAAAAAATAAGTTCTTAAGAAGGTCATGTAACTTGAAAAAGTAACAAATCAACAACGCAGTTTGCTCTATTTAATCACACACCTCTGTACACATATAACAGCCTCAACCAAGTCAGCTTTCAGCATTTCAATTGCAATAGTAGTCACTATTCCAGTCCATTGAGCTCCTGCCATCGAAGAAAGTTACAGGCTTTTAACAGGGGAAAGTTAATTAAAACGACCAAAAACTGTGATAAACAAAACATCATCTGCTTGAGAAATTAAATACTCCAATTAGAATGCTAGTAGTAGTTTTGGGCAGTGATAATTTTCAAAACTACAACAATTAAGGTTTACTCAAAAACAAGCAAAAATCACCTTAGGATTGAACTACTGTAAACCTACTATAACCAAAAACAAACACTTCAATTTTCATAGAATTAGAAGGGCATTGCATAAGTAGTACCTTCAACAGGCTTTGTTTTACGAGCATACAATATCTCCTCATGGACCCCAAAGTATGTCTCATCAAAAGAGTCTACCTTTCTCCCTCTACCGTGGACTGCAGGTTCCAAATCCTGAATGTGAGAAAAGAAACAAAAAAAAAAAAAAAAGTGAGTATATAAAATGCATTGGATTAGATAAGCAAGCTGCTATGCAAAAGTAGTAAAATAAACTTACTTCAATTTTAGACATTCCATCACCTAGAAAAGCGCAAGCATTCTTGACATGGGCTATGTAGTAAGTATCACATAACCCACATCGACTGCAGTGGTCTTTTGCTGGATAAGTGCCACCTGGTGGAATGGGTTTGGAGCGTTGCCTCCAGTCCTCTCTTGTCAATTTCACTGACGACTTCTTTGAGGAGTTGGGGTTAGAAGGAGACGAAGAAGAAGATGATGGTGATGTTTTTGAGGAAATGATTGGTAGTGGGAGCTTGCAGATGATTGAAGTCATTATGATGGATGGCACGGCAGCAAAACAGAGTCAGAGACAGACAGAGAGAGAGAGAGAGAGAGAGAGATAAAGAAGTGGAAGTGGAGCTTTGAGCCAAGCTTTGGCTCTGCACCACATACTCTACAAGGAGGATTTAAGAGACACCAGTTAACAGATTACCATTTTGTCATGCTGGCTTGTCCACATAGTAACGACACCGTTTGGATCTCATAGCTAATTAAAGATTTGAGAGAATAAACCATCTTGTCACGGAGCCATGTCTCTTAATCATTACTCTTTTCCATCCGAAGAAATATGTCATTACAAATCTAAATATCATTTCAATTCCGAGTTATTATTCCTAACACATCAGCGACATTTTATTCCTGATATCATAAAGGTCATAATTAGTACTGTGAATCAGAAATAACATTCAAACCTGTGGTTTTTCTTTTCTTCTTTTTTTAAAAAAGGAAGTAATTATATTTGGTACTAAAAAGATACAAAACCACCTGTTTCATTTCTAGGGCTTTGCACCCGTAAGTCTGCTCAAGAAAACAATAAATGTAGGCAGAAAACTGTACCAGCGAATGCACATAACAGTTACTCATCATTGCCGGTAATTCTATTCTAATTTTCAACCCTTCCATATATAAAGATGTCCCTGCTAAAGTTTCTCATTACACAAAATTATAGCCAGAAGAGACTTCCTTATTGTTATATGCCAAAGAATGACAACTGGATTTCCCGATCAATGGGAAGGCTGCCTAAAACACAATTTTCACGGGTTACAAAAGAATGGATGGTATAACTGACTCAAAATATACAAATTACGATCTCCGTTGAGATGCCAAAATAAGGGGAGCAAAGGAAATAGAAGCCCAACGGTGTGTTCCAGTTTGATGAATGATCCTGTCTAGCATTAAAGAAGCTTGCTTGTTCTTCGTCTGGATGGTCCTCCAGGAAAGAGCTTCATAATCCACCCTAAAACCCTTTCCACCACCTATTCGGAAAAAGAAAAAGATATATATTTATCAGCAACCAATAAATTGGGTGCAAAAAATCTTCTATTTCCTAAAGAACAGACGTCTCTTAACACACTGTTAGTTGAGGAAGTAGGGAAAATGGATGGGAGAGAGGGGATGAGATGCTTCCTTGTTTTGTTGGGGGGATGGAGACCCAAGGAAGGGATCCCATCCTCACATGTACTAATTTGCAATCTGCCCAATTACAGCAGATTGGTTTCCATCCTTCCCTTCCCTTCTTACATCCCGTGTGTTAATATCCGTCCTTTCTCCTTTTTATCCCATTGTACACTTTCCATCCTCCCCCTCTCCATCCTTCCTTGCAAATAGAGTGAAAGTTTGCCCTCAACAAATGGCCACCCCTCCCACCCCTTTGAGTTGCTTCATGAGTCTTTCCAACCAAATTAGGTTATGCCATTTGCTCCCCTGGGGGATACCAGTGGCTGCCCAAAATCAAAGACTCCCATTTGTAACGAGGTTAAGAACAAGATCAAAGCAGTGAGATATAAGTTAATGTTCCAGCACTGTACAGATTGCATTTAGAAATATTGGTGGGGGTAAGAGTAGAATACTATCTTGAATTCTTCGTATTTTGACATCATCTGCCAATCGAGTAGGTGGGCATAGATTTTTCTTTTTTTTATCAAGTGTCATCATCGCACTGCAAATGTGCGATAAGCCCCATAATTCAGGATCCAAAGAGTCACTTACCTTATTAAGACAAGAAAAAAACAGAATTCCTCCACTCTAATCAGACATTACCAACTCTACAAATAATTACAACATTAGTTCTAATATTTGGAGTTAGATATCATACCTCATCACCTTCATCTGCATATGCAGTGCTGTCCTGCAGGGTACGAGAATCAGGTAACCTTGCCGGGATATTTTCATTGGCCATACTTTGAGCAGTCAAAAGCTCTAATCTTTGAGTTTGAGCCTCCAGTTTACGTGACAATTCATTGTTCAAATCCTTCATTTATTTGAAACAGAAATCCCAATAAATTATATAAGAAAAGTAGATGAACATGCTGAATATACATCAGCATCCAGAAATGGAATATTTACTAAAAGCACATTGATTTTTTGGAAAATATTTCACATTAGATAATATCACTAGAATAACACACTCACCAACCTCATCAACTTCTAATCCATATTCATTTCCTGATCTAGTGAGATGCAGTGATTTTAAAAAATATTGTAAAATACACCAGAAATAGCTCGATGTATACCACCTATAATAAAACAATAATCTCCACCAAATTCTACTATGCTGGAAGTAGGCGTATACCTTTCGCTAGTGTTCGTCCTATAGAAAATGGTTTCTTTCAAATTCTTTTCACATGAAGTAAGTTTGAACATCCTAATAATCTAGGAGTTACCACCTATCTTAAAAATTAATAATAATTAAAAAAAAAAAAGCCAACCAAATTCATTGACAACATGATATGCAAACTATATTTATGATCTATAAACTCCATAACTATTCAGCAAAAAAAAAAAAAAGAGTATAGTTTCAACCAAAAAATCTTTCTAAGAGCAGAGAGCAGCTTCCCCCCCCCCCCCCCCCCCGCGTAGAAGCTCTTTCATTTTGCTCCTTTCATCAAAACCCAAAGTCGTGCTAAATATATCTTTTTGCCTGTACAGAGACTAAACCCTCATCAAGCATCGAGTCCCTAAACATCTGAACCTGGAGGAGCTCAATGGAAAGAAACGACAGCATACACCATAAAGCATATCTGACACAAGCACACTCTAAAAGTAAACTAGAATCAACTGCTTCTATACACATACAAGAATTGACTGAGACCTTCCACTCTTTTCTCAAGACTAAATATGGTTATAATCGTTTCCAAGCTGCTTACCATGAACTTGTGATAAAAGATGCTACTAAGAGGTTTACATCCAACAAAATTACTTCACACATGATTGCTAACTCCATTGTTCATTTCAGGATAAGAGTTACCTGAAGCTTGGAGCACTGAGATGACTCAGATGTCAAAGCTTGCACCAACTCTTCTTTTTCCAATGCAAGCTGCACCACAAAAGGGCCATTGCTGACTTTACATTTATGTATTCTACTAAAGATATTCATAAGCTCTTTCAATATTTAACAGAAAAGAAGGGGCAAAAGATTACGGAATGCCCAGAACACTTAGGCTTGCAAGGAATTGACAGTATATAAAAAACATACCTCAGAAATTATTGTGTTTATGTTTTGAATCATTCTCATTTGATCTGGTAGAATATACACAGATGAAGCTTCAAGATTCAACTGACCATTTTCAGGCTGAATGAGAAAATCAATAGCATCACTTCCAGGAACGGATGCAGCATCACTTCTAGGAAAGGATGCAGCATCCCGTGGTTCCTGGCTGGAAGTCTCTGGCATATCATCTGCAATTGAAATGGAGGAGGATAACATGAATAATAGAAAAGGCTTAAGAACAAATTGCAAATATCCAGAGTGAGTATCATCTGGGACTGTTTAATTGTACAATGGTTTTACAAGAAAAAGAATGGAAAAAAATAGTATAAACCAAGAAAACGATGCCCAACACAAAAGTTGAAGCTCAACCATAGTCATCAGGAATAAACTGCTGGTGAAAACAGGAGCAAATAGATAATCTCCCGCATCTCAAACAATTAAAATTTAACCCATCTCAGACATTGGCATCTCAAACAAGTAAAACTTAACCCATCTCAGATATCGACAATTAGGAATTAGAAAAATGTTTTACCATCAACTAGTGAGGCTAAATCTTGATCCAATTCCATATTATATTGCTCTTCTATTTAAGCTAAGAACTCCTTCCCACAATTTCAACAAGGAGATGGGAGATGAATAGGTCTCAAGAAAGCAGTCAAAAATTCTAACAAAAGCATACCCATACAGTCTGAATTTTTGCTGTTATAGAGTCTGTCAAAGCATTTAAATACATGAACGAACTTTTGTCTCATACTTTATGTAATGTTGTGATTGGCAGACATTAAATAAACCAAAAACAGGAATACAGCAATTCGTAATCCAGAAATGTTGTGGATATATAAATTTTGGGTCGAATTGTACTGGCAAGTAATTCACACGTACTCCAAGAAATGGACACTGACATAATGACCATAGCGGTGGAAGTTCTAAAGTTTCTTCAATAGAACAAAAAGGCCAAAGACTGAACCACCAAAAATGAGTTCAAAACATCATTTCCAATAAATAAGTTCCATCTTAGAAAAGCATCCCCCCCCCCCCAAAACAACTCTAATGAAGGAACACGTAAGCAACTGCATCCGCTATGCAGTAACATTTTGATCAGCATAACACCAATTCCATTAAAGAGAATTATCATTACCTAAATCTTCTGTTGATGTTGCTACATTTTTTTCTCTTCACTCCTGCTAACAACAGTAGACTTTTCGGTTACAGAAGCTTTACGTAGCTTGGATTGCAATAGTTTCTTCTCTGTATCATAAAAATGATGATTAGTTGGGTGAAAACATTAAAATCATATACAATATCGGTGAGGTAATCAATCATTTCATTTTTCACCCCCCCCCCCCAAAAAAAATAATAATAAACTCATTGTGGAAAGACTCGTCTAATAGAACTGTAAAAAAAAAGTTATCATAGCCAATTATAAACATTATAAGTATATTCTGGAATCATAAAAAAATAATTGTGCAGGTCGTATTGGGTTATATCAGTTATACGAGTTCTTGAACTTAAAAAGGCCCAATCCTATGATGATTAAAGCACCAATTAGCTATACCAATTTTAAGAAATGCTGTATCTTCATAATCAATATGGAGATAAATTGAGAAATCACCATCATAAAATATCATGACAAGGAAGTTGGTTATTAGCAGATCTTTTATCAATATGTCTCTTTTAAGAATGGTACTCATTTGAGTCTTTAAAGAAAACAACAAACTGAAAAACAGAATAAACCAATGAACTGTACTTCTTATTAATGATATAAAGGTCCTTTCATTATAGTTTGAGAAAGTTAAAGCAGGTTTCTTGGTTTTCCTTCTCAAAGCAAGATCTTAACCTTTCCCGCCATCAAATGAATGCGTATACATGTGTGCACACGCACTTTATGATAAGACAGGTTTTAGCACATAAGTTATTTATCACAAACTTTTCATAAACTAGTAGATGAGCTAAACAGTATGTGAAAGGTTTTTTTTTTTGGCTCCCTTTGTGTATGCAAATACAGGAGGATCTACATCATGGTGTCCCTCTTTTTTGACACCTTTCCTGATTAAATTTGATTTTATTGATAAAAAAAAGTTCCCTAAATTTTCTAACACGTGGATAATATATCAAACATCCCTTTTTGGACAGAAACAAGGTTAAAAAGGAAATCTCTTTGAGGTGTCTCTTCCATCTGATGTACAAACACTTCCCATCCCTAATGGACAAAGTGGCAAAGCATACGTGTTTTTCAGTTTTAAATAGACCAAATATTTTCTTTTGCATTAGTCTATCTAGTTCATCATCACCCCCTTCCCTCACCTCCCACTCTTTTTTTTTTAACCTCATTTTAGCATAGTCCAAAAACCAATTATAAAAAGAAAAAAGGAGCAATAAGAACTTCCATGGTGAACAAAAAATTGTGTGAATACCTTCTTGGAGAGCATCAATTGTTGACTGCAAATCCTGACGGTCTTTCTCCAGGCTGGACATTTTCTTTCTGCAGGATTCAATTTGAACAATAATTGTCAAATGTTCTTTCAATTTAATAAAATGTACCCAAAAAAAGCAATTGGAAATGATGATATAGGATCAATACAAATTTTTTGTCCACTGGAAGGAGAAGGAATACATATTACCAAGTTCTAAAATATATATAGCATACACTTCCCAACAGTTAAATTCAGAATTTAGTAACTAATACCAGCATTTCTATTTCTATATTGCTCAAGTACCAAAGCATACGAGTAAAAGTCTGTAAAAATTTTTTGCAAGGACAAAAAAGCATATTAGTTCAAGTATACAAAACTTACATTTAAAAGAAAACAAAAAAGGAAAGAGACATGGCATACCTGAAAAAGTCAATCCTACATACAAAACAAACAGGCTTCGCATACAAGAAAACCCTTATCTATAACTATTTTCACTCCTCCAAAGATAAAAAACCAGATGCCAAAACAACTAAAATGGGAAACAACAGTTCATGATCAAGACAATTATCTACTTCAGGTTCCGTGTTCAAGCAAGTAGGAGGTGTGGCATCCTAGTCTAGTTGATGCCTGTTCATAGTTCTCCTTTAAAAGAGGTATGCACCTCATCAATCAAAAAAAAAAAAAAAAAAAGATCCCTGAAGGAAAAATTGTTGGCTGATTGCTGCCATTTGTCCCCTTGAAACTAAAGATTGCCTTCCGCATGCATATTTCACTCGATCATGGAAACGTTGTTGGTATTCTAATGAAAATCAGTGCTTGCACAACAGAATCCCTCTTTCCCAAAATATGGTTACTGTTACCTCCCAACATAGCCAAACTCCAATTATGTGGATAACTGTTCCAGAATCCATGTAAACAAATCTTGCTAGTTGCACAAAATGCTTATTATATCATTAAAAAAAAAAAAACCCTGTTAAAGTCCACTAATATAAACACAAAAAATAAAGACTACTGGAACATCTAGTTAAACTGAAGATTTACATCTCAATTCTTCATCTCTAATCAAAGAAAAGGTAAAGCATACCTGTAAGAAGTTATCTCCGCTTGTGAATTCTCCAATTGCCTCTCCAGCTTTAACTCACTAGACCTTAGTCTGAGTGCCTAAACAAACAAGTTATAGAACAAACTTGAGAGAAGAAAGAAGTAGCCATGGCTGAAAGTGTAGTTAGGATAATATATGAGGAGACTCCTTTTTGTATTTGGATAAATAAAAATTTTCAGCACCCAAATGTAGTGCAGTTTTAGCAGATTAGAAGTCATCATTCCAGCAATTTAATAGAGGATTTCAATATTAACTTGACACCAACTTCATAGCCATGCCCCCATAAAGAACAATTTCTGGTACAGAGATATTTACTTAGTCTACAGAAACTAATGTTACAAAACTAAGACTCAACCATGAATTGGATGTACATAATATTAATACCAATGGGTTGAATGCAATTCAAACATTTTATCATCTATCAAGACCAAACGAAACCTGAGTTGCATTCTTATATTATAGCATATTCCATCTCAATCACGCACTATTCACGAAGAATGGGCAAAGCAGGGGAAGATTGGAACTTTTACTTGAAAGGCACGAAAGCAAGACAAAGAAGAACCAAGAATAAATAGAAAATTTACTACCTTCTCTTCCAAACCAATGACCTCAGAAGCCAGTAGCTTAGCTCGTTCATCAGCAGCATTACACTCAAGCTGTGCATTTGCACATGCAATTTTGACAGACTCAAGTTCCACCTGATAACATCAATGGGCATAAAAACAATAGAAATGCAAATGAACATGAATACCAAGATAGATATAAGCATAACTAGCTATAAGCAACAAAAATCACTACTGACCAAATGGGCTTTGATTTCCGCATGTAACTGCTCCATATCAGATTTCAGTTGGTTGACAACACCTCTCTAGTAAAAAATTCAACGAACATATTAACAAATTAAATAAATAAACCAAAAGAAGTGTCAGGCATGATCAAAGGGCCAATGGCATATTATACACACCGCTGCAATTGTTATAACTTAAACTTCTAGACCTTGATGCCAATTCCAACATCCACGCAAACCAACTAGCAACCAAGCAATTTCGATTTCATGGAATGAGCACAGCTTAGTGTAACCCAACACAATTTATACAGTCATGTTAAACTAATTTATGCTTTTTGGAGATATTTTGTGGCTTAATTCATGGGCACTGAGAAGTTATATGCAACAATGTATGTCGCATTAAAATGTATAGCAAGGTGTATTATTACCAACAAAATTAATAGTGCTACTAAAATCCACAATTCAGATTTGAAATAAACACAAAACATCAAGAGATGTTTTGTTTATGAATGATGGTTCCACAAACATTGTGCTGATAAAGTTCAAGCCTCAATGTTTAGACATTGAAACTTCTAGTCTCGAATATTATGAGAACTTCACAGAAACATTTTTTTTCAACACACAAAAGATGAGAATGGCATAGCCCCAGCATCCCTATGAAAGTTTGATAAAATTTCTATCTGTTAAAACTCCATTTCAACAAAAAAATAAAAATAAAAATAAAATATTGACATTTTCTAAATTAACGTGTAACTAGCCAAATAAAAAACAGAAATAAAGAAAAGATTTATGTAGGATTTACTTCATAATCTCTAAGTTTTATCCAAAGAAAAAATTATCTAATCCGTAAGTAAAATTTGCTCTTAGAATATTTTTCTTCTATATAAGATGTTAATGGCTAGTAGGAATTACAGGAATAACAAAAAGACTGATATATATTTATCTTCTTTTTACTATAAAAAAAAGGAGATTGCAAGGACAGCAGAGAGATTTTGTACGCCAACCTGTTGGTTATAGCTATCTGTCAATGATGAATTTTCAGCAGCCAAGGACTCTGCTAAAGAACGTGAAGCTTCAAGAGCTCGTTGCAAAGAGAATTTTTCTTGCGTCAAGTCTTCAATATGCTGCCACAACAAGACCAGCATAAACAAGAATGTGACAGTAATGGAATGAATCCATGGCTACATGGCTACAAAACAAGTCATGATATCAACAAAAACATGTTGAAGAGAAATTTGATAGTTTCCTCCTGGTTCACTGGAAAAATAAATAAATAAACAAAGAGGACGTATGCATCACAGAACATTCCCCGACCACAATCCCTAAATATAATCTTCATTCCAATCAAGTTTAATATTAGAGTCCCCACCACTCCTCTCGCAGCAGATGCTATGTAATGCGATAAAATTTAAAAGGACCCAAAATCTAGTCCTAAGGAATTCTTATGCGTGCATTACAATACCATCAAGTCCTTGACAAACATATATTAATAAATTGTCAAACTTAAAAACTTAATTTCACAATATTCAAAAGATTGCACTTCCAGAAGCTAAATTCACAAATTTCCAAGGCAAAGCCAAAAAGACACTAACAAAGCAAGAACTATGCACCGAAACCAAATAACAGAAAACAGGGTACCTGTTCCAGAGCAGAAAAATCTTCATTTTGCTTGGGCGAATAAAACTCATATTTTCTCTCCATACTATTCTCATTAGTATTAGACTTGATTATATCAACCCCATTAGTAAAAGAAACTGAAGTTTTTGTTGCATGATCAAATGAACTAGGCATACTTGAAGGCGTCAGCTCTGAAAACCTCCTGCCAGTTTCAGTCTCCACTGCCAGCTTCTGGAAAGCAGATGATCCTAGAGCATCGAAGCCGTTTGATTTGGAATTAGTGATTATAAATGACTCCTCTAGTTCAGTTCGTTGGAAAGAACTCCGAGAAGACGATCTAGACACATTAAGAGAGTCGAGGAAAGATGGACGAGATCTCCAAGAATTGCTTTCAGAAGTGACCGAATGTGGAGGCACATGACTTGAGGAGATCCTGGCATCTGAGTTGAAACCTGTAGATTCAGATGTTTGCACAGCTGTATCACGCAGAGTATGCAAATCACTAGAGAAGCTACTAAAATTTCTTTCACCAAAATCGGAATTCATGGGATAATTGAAATGCATGTCTTGCAGAACTTCAGAATCAGAATCTCTCAGCTTGGTATTTGGCAGAGTAGAGTCCACTGTAAAACCCCAAAACACGACTATTTACTTAGTCTTTTTCCGAAAATTAAAGATATGACAAAGCAAAACCTCGTAATATGTTGTTTATCCAAACAGGCAGACATGGAAAGCCAGGGAAAAAAAATGTATATGTGATCCAAAATAGGGGAGTGACATACCGACAGTGGCAGGGGTGCTACTATAACTGGACTTGAAGGTTTGCTGTTCGGAGCTGGTAGAACTTGGATTTGAAGTAAGGAAATGGGTCCTATCATTTATAACCGCAGAATCCTTTAAAGAGATGTTATTTTCTTTTGTTTGGAACAATTCCCTTCCATAAAGACTAGATTGACTAGAACTGCCATAAAAACCACTAGAGTGGTCAGACGAAATCCCATATGGAAGTTCCCCTTGGCTCCCTTTATATACTCCAGAGTCATTATTCGTTTTTTCCGTCTCTTGGCCATACTCAACATTGGCTGATCCAGCGAATCCTGAAGCCTCATGCCTGTTAGAATCATAGATATTTGTGTGTTTCTGCGTTATACCTGAAAACAATGTACTATAATCACTCAATGAAGGAGGACTGGGATCTGCATCTTTTGAAGAACTTTGTTCAAGTTTCTCGGTAATATCAATTTTGTTGCCATTGTTCATAGATACACCAATGGGTTCAACAGGCCTTCGAGGCCAATCAGACATGCCAACTCCATCTGAATCTGTTAGCCGTACATGATCAGTCTCCAACGGTTGACTCTGATCTAGGCTCACATCCAAAGCATGAGGTTGGCTGGTGGATGCAGCTTTCTTGGCTCGCTCTGCTGCCTTTTTCTTGCGGAACTCCTCCAACTGCAAAAGAACACATAGACAAAGGGACACTATTACGAGTCAAATTCCACATGTTTTAATTAGATGAAAAGAAGCAACAATAAAATGGAAGGAATCAAGAAGCAGGAGGCTAAGCAGGCGAGGGACATGTTACTTAACCACCAAATGCATAGTCTAAACACCTCTAGAGAAATGCAAGACATGCAAGGGCAACAAACAACTGCTGCTTCTAAACCTGACAAGGCCATCAAAGACCTCCCACCAAAGCAGAGTCCTCGAAAAGAGAGTGGATGCACACAACTTGTGTTTATGGTATTGCAATGGAGATGTTTGGCAAAGTGCAAGGCATTAGAAAGCACACCAATTGGCTTTCACCCCAATGGGTTAGCCATTACTAGAATTTCACTGGACCACACGATTCATTTAAAATAGAGTTGCGTTAAGAGAATCATGATTTTAATCAGCTTAAATTTAATTTTTTAACTCTTTCAGCTCCAATTCAGAATTGCAAGGATCGTTTCTAGTCTTCTTGATTGCTTCCACTTGTTTCTACGTAAAGTACTGATCATAGAAATACACAAACTTTTCATCTTCAAAGATTTGCATTTTATTTCTAGCTCGCCAACCAGACCAGGCATACTTAAATTTATAACTAAATCCTCAAAAACAATAAAACCAGTACGTAATTCTATATTCTTTCTCTAGTCCAATAATCTCACACTCAAAAGAATTAAACACATTCACTACCCCAACCGGCACAAGAAGGCTATCAAAGCAACATGTTTAACTCGGATCACAAGCGCAACGGTAATCAGAACTAACAATTTTATTTGATTACCACCATAAAATACTCTATTTGCATAAAATAAAATAAAACAAAATAACACCTCAGGTATCTAATTTGAATCTCAAATCAGTGACTATATAAGCACATGCATGTTTCTTTCTACACATTTTGCAAAAGCAAATTGATGTTATCTAAATAAACGTAATCAATTGCAGAAATCAATCAAATAATGGAACATACCCGTCGCTTTCCTGCTTCGAGATGCTCCTGTTTCCGTGAGCTCGGCAACACCTGAGCCGACGCCATTTAACCCTCCAAAAAATGAAACCCCTCAAATTCTCGTCCAATCAAACTACTTATCCACAAACCAGTTTTTTTTTTTTTCAACAATACTAATTCTCAGCAATCACCATGACAGGAAAAAAAAAACCGAAAATTCAATCCAGATAAAAAAAAATTAAAAAATAAAGGAAATATTGTAATTCGAAATGGTGAATTAATTCGAATTTTGAAATTTAATTGAATATAAGGAAATGAGATAACCCTAGAATCTTGAGTTTGTACGGACCAAAAAGGAAAAAAATAGGTCCGATCTGATCGGGTGGGAGAGAGAGGGGTAAAGAGGGCTGTTTGTTGTGTGCAAAAATAAATTACGTGTGCACCGCAGGCAGATCTCCTTTGTTTTCTCTCCCTGTTTTTTTTTTCTTTTTTTCACGTTTTGAGTTTAAATTTGGGGGGTGGATGCGAGGGACAACGTTACGTGCTGCTGTGTTTAAAATGACGTATGTGGGATCTTTTGCTTTGTATGCCAACCCGAAAGTAATTTGGTGTTTTCTGATATATAAATGAAATGAAAATTAAAAAAACGAAATGGTATTCATATTTTCATATTATGTTTAGGATAGTAATAAAAAATCGAAATGTAATTTAAATTTTTTAATATCTGATTTTTTATATAAATAAAAATAATGATTAAAAAATAATTTTATTAAATTATAATGGTTGTAAAAATAATAAAAATAATGATGGTGATTATGGTTATGACAGATGATGATTCTAGTAGTGGTGGTGGTAGTGATTACGATAGTGGTAATAGTTGTGGTTGTAATGATGATGATGATGGTAGTGGTCATAGTGGTTGTAGTTGCCATGACGATGGTGGTGATGCTGGTAGCATTTGATGGTGGTGGTGGTGGTAGTAATGGGTGGTAATAATTGTAATGTTTATAGTAGTAATGTTAAAAGTAGTTAATAGATAATAAATAAATAAAATATATTATTATTTTAAAAAAAATTCATTCTCATTCCTTATTTTTTATTCTCACATCTTATATAGAAATGAAGTTATGTGTAAATTTTTATTTCCATTCTCACGTCTTATTGTTGTTGTGGTTGTATTAGATCGATTGTTAAAGTTAATTGATAGTTTTTTATGTGCTCATGCTTTCGATTCCTTTTTTTTAATTAATAATAAAATAAGATTTGCAATTTATAAATATAAATATTTATTTATTGATATTTGAAAAAGTATAATAAATCACATTTGTTGTTTAGGTAGAAATTTTGAATAAGATATAAGAAATATCTATTATAGCAATGAATTTGATTTGAGTAGTAATGACAATAAATACAATTCAATATGATAATTATAGACCTGAAGCCTGAACAATTACATATAAGCCCCTCCCTCAAACTTGAGGAGTTATAACTCAGTATCTTCTGAAAAATTGAAGGCAAACTTTTGGTTTGATTTCAGATAATGGTTGTCGTAAGAGTAGTTATTTATTATTTTGGACTCCTCCACGTCGAAATTGCTTCAACCTAAATGTTGATGGAGCAGCTCCCTTGGCAATCCTAGGAAAGCAAGTGCTGACGGTCTTTTTTAGGACCACAATGGTACCTGGACAATAAGTTTTTCTGATTTTATTAGGTGTGCTTCTAAGACTCTAAAAGATATAGGGTTCTACCCTGTTCATTGTTCTTTTATTTATATATACGTAATTTGTAACTCTAGCAAAGGGAATTATTTGCAGACCATCGGTTAAGGTGATTTCTTTTCAACCAATAAAACTATGGTTCGACTGCGGGCGCAGACGCATTTATGATTTAACTTTTTTCTTTCTTTCATTCACTGTTTCCTTTCTTTCTCTCTCTTTTTCCGGGTTGCTCAGCCAAACTTTTAAGAATTGTTTTTATCTTGGTATTTATTTTGTGATATGTTTTTATTTTGATCATTAAAAATTTATTATATTTGATTGTTATTCCTATAATAAATATTAATCTTTTTTATTTTAGTCCCTATTTTGTAATATTTTTTTTATTTTTTTCATTAAAACTTTATTATATTTGAATTTTATCACTCTAATAAATATTTTTTTGGCTTCTAGTAAAAATTTATGTTTTTTTTTGTGATATGTTTTTATTTTAGTCATTAAAGTTTTATCATGTTTGATTTTTATCCTTACTATACTAAAACTAAATATTTTATTATATTTGATTTTTGTCCTTATAATAATTTTTTTTCTTGGTTTTTAGTAAAAATTTATGTTCTTTTTTCATTCTTATTTTGTGATATGTTTTTATTTTAGTTATTAAAGTTTTATCATGTTTGATTTTTATTCTTACTATACTAAACTAAATAAAGTTTACTATCGTAAACTTTTTTTTATACTATTCACTCTTAGGTTTTTTTTTTAATTTTTACTCTTACTTTTTTTCTTAGTTTTTTTTATAATTTTCAAATTATTTTGTTTTGATTCTTGAAATTTTATTATAAGAAATACAAAAAGAAAATGGGAAAGTGTAGCACTTTCCCTGTTCGTTCAATGTTTACTTTCTTTTTTTCCCCTATTTGCTTAGCAAAGCTTTTAGAATTTTTTTTTATTTTGGTCCCTCTTTTGTAATATTTTTTTATTTTGATCATTAACATTTTATTATATTTGATTTTTATCCCTATAATAAATATTAAATTTTTATTGTATTTGATTTTTATCTCTATAATAAATATTTTTTTCTTGACTATTAGTAAAAATTTATGTTCTTTTTTTGTTCTTATTTGGTGATATGTTTTAATTTTAGTCATTAAAGTTTTATCATGTTTGATTTTTATCTTTACTATACTAAAACTAAATGTGTTATTATATTTGACCTTTATCCTTATAATATTTTTTTCTTTGCTTTGAGTAAAAATTTACGTTCTTTTTTATTCTTATTTTGTGATATGTTTTTATTTTAGGTATTAAAGTTTTATCATATTTGATTTTTATCATTGCTATACTAAAACTAAATAAAGTTTACTATCCTAAACTTTTTTTTTTGGGTACTATTCACTCCTTTTTTCTTTTTCTTTTTTTACCCTCACAATGTACTATTCACTCTTAAGTGTTTTTTTTTTTCACTCTTAGTCTTTTTTTTCTTGAAATTTTTTGTAATTTTCAAATTATTTTGTTTTGATTCTTGAAATTTTAAAATAAAAATTTTAACCCTTAGCCGATGCAAGTACATGCCTTTTCTTTTTTTGTTCTTTGGTTTTTTTCTTTGATTTTTTTCATCAATTTATGCTCTCTTTTTTTAATTTAATTGGGTGTTAAATTTTAAAAAACCAATCGTTATTTTTTTTCCACACAAAGTGACGATTATATAATATATATATAGATCAAATGTATGTACTTTAAGAAAATAATATTCTTATCAACATTAAATAAGAATAAAATTTTATTTTTTCATTATTTAATTTTTATGCAAGTCTATACATTAGTTGTAACTTTATTTTTTTGGATATATTCTTATAAAACAATATATTTTTAAAGTATTTATTTTTAAATTCTTAATTAATATTTCAAGTTTAAATTATATATTATCAATATTTATTTAGGAATCCCTAAATAAATAAAAATAAATCATTTTTTTAAACAAAACTTTTATGAAAAACACAAAACAATAGTAATAATTAATGAAAAATTATAAAATTTTGAAATAATTTTGTTCTATCTACTCGTAGTGTTGCGTGGATAATTTCAAAAATTAATCTTCTCATCAACATTGAATAAGAAATTTTTTCCCCATTTGTTAGTTTTTATAAAATTCTATCTATTAATTATAACTTTATTTTTTGGAATAAAATATTATGAAAAACATATTTTAAAATTTTTTTAAATTCTTGATTAATATTTTAGTTAAAATAAATCCATAAAGAAGAATGATTTATGTTTTTTTAAGAAAAAAGTTTTTAAAAAATAATTAAATAAGAAATTATAATGAAAATTTTTTTTAATTTTAAACCGATTTTATCCCATCAGCAGTAGCGCAGTGATCGACTAGTGGTAGCTAAATTGTGAGCTATTAAATAAGATTTTGTTTTAATTATAAGTATTTGATGTTTTTACTTAAAGAATATTTGATCTTAATCATCCGAAATAATAAATGCTCTCCACTAGCCACCCAAATTCTCTCCCCGCTAAAGAGTCTAAAAAACCAAATGATTTTGAATCCGATCGAAACACCAAAAAGGTTATGTTAGCATCTAAATTTTATCCCTTTTATTTTATTTCTATTTTTATTTTTATTAAAAAATGCAAAAAATAATAAGAAACAAAAAAAAATCATTTGAAACAAATAGCTTAGACTAGTTATAGAGGAAGTAGTTAAAAAAATAAAAAGTTTAGAAAAAAATAATTGAGGGTACAATTAAAAGATCTAAAACCTCAATCCTTTAATTAAAATAAAGAGGATGCATAATTGAAAGAAATTGAAGGAAAAAGTCATAATTGATTGGAATTTAAGGGTTCCATAGAAATTGAAACGATCGAAATTGGACTTAAATCAATGGATTATAGAGAATTAGGGACCAAAATAGATTTTTACCTAAAACGCCTAAAAAATACCTATAAATAAACCCCTCTCCCATTTTTATATCGTACATTATTCATCACCCTCACAAAAACCTTTCATCCAAGCTCGACTCTCTACCGCAACAACCCCTCACTCAAAACTCCTTCTCACATGCCAAACCCTCACCCGAAACTCCCTCATCAACTAGCCACCAACCTCCCTCACAGACTTTGTAACACCCGTAACTTAGGACCTAATAAATTGAGAATATTACTATTATTAACCTACATTCGAAGTGCAATAAATGCAAGCTAACAAGGCGTTATGACTTTCCTTTAATGCATTTAGGTATAAATTACGTTACAAAAGTCTAATAATGACGATTAGATCCTACTTTTTAGTTCAAAAAGCACTACGAATTTTTCACGTTTCATTATTTTATTTAAATTCTTTGAACTAAAATAATTGAATTTGTG